GATCGATTATATTGCATTCTGACCTATTACATTCGAATTCTAATCGGTCATAAAGAGTTTTAATCGATTAAAAGAAGTTTGTATCGATTAAAATATTGAAAAAACACTTTTTAAAACATTCTAAGTGTTTTAAATTGATTCTTTCAAACCTGTATCAGCTTAATAACTTGTTTAAGAAAATTCTTTGCCAAAATGCTTTTGTTTTTTATTTGTTAAAAACTATTTTTGAGGCATTTTGCAAGATGAGTGAAGAAGCTTTATGCAAGTGGAAAAGGTAAAGTGGTTTTACCTAAGCTTTCGTTTAGACACACTAAGTCTTCAGCTCCATTCTTCTGAGTGACTTGTTTGACTGCTGCAGAGTTGACCCTTGACTTTATCTTTGACTTCATCAAATTAATGAGATCTTTGCTAGGATCACTTTCAATATCTAGGCCCATGTGCTAGCCATTTCAATGTATCAAAGGCATTGTCACTTGAAAATATTTTGCTTTGAAACCAATTGATAAAGTTGTTGTTATGCTCTTTCATCAACCACCTTTCACCCATTTTGGGGTTTAGGTCCTTTAACATTGCTTTATGCGCATCTATGTAAGGAATAACCTCTTCTGTATTGTTCAAAATATACAAGTGGGCGGTGGTCAACTCTACATGATCTTTTGTTTGAATTCTAATACCACGAGTTCCCTTACCATTTAGCCTATCATCATGACGATTTCTAGGTACACCCACGAGTACGACTCTTGCCAAGTAATCCGAACAAAATTCTATGGCTTCTTCTCGCAATATACCGCTCAACAATTGAAGCTTCAGGTCTGTATGGATTTTTAGAATACCCTTTGAAGATCTTCATGTATCGCTCAATTGGGTACATCCACCTCAAATAAACCGGACCACAAATTCGTATCTCCCTCACAACATGAACTATTAAGTGAATCATTATATCAAAGAATGATGGAGGAAAATACATCTCCAATTGACATAGCACAACCATAGCCTCATTTTCCAACTCATCTAGTGATTTTTCATCGATAACCTTGGCATAAATAGAATTGAAGAAAAAACATAGTCGCATAATGGCATGTGTAACATTCTTAGGCAATATGTTACGTATAGCCACGGGTAACAACTGTTGCATCAAAACGTGACAATCATGGGACTTTAATCCAATTAACTTCAGATCTTTCATGGATACAAGACTCTTAATATTTGAAGAGTATCCTTGTGGCACTTTAATACTTGCAAGACAATGACATAAACTACGTTTCTCCTTCTTTGACAAGGTGTGACATGCTGGTGGTAGATATGTTCTAGGCCTTGGATGTAATTCAGGACGTATTCCCATCTCACAAAGGTCTTGATGTGCTTTGATCCCATCCTTTGACTTTCCTTGAATGTTTAACAATGTGCCAATGAGACTATCACATACATTCTTCTCCACATGCATAACATCAATACAATGTCGTACTTCTAAATGGCTCCAATATGGAAGATCAAAGAAAATTGATCTCTTCTTCCACATGTTCTCGTCGAAGACCTTTTTGGGTCTTTCCAAATGTAATGCTTATGTTCTTCACTCGATCGTAAACTTCTAAACCAGTCAATGGTTCTCTGGCAATTTCATCCTCATGTATGCCATTAAAAGCTTTCTTCAGTCTACGGTATGGATGGTCATGCGGGAGAAATTTTCTGTGCCTGTTATAAACTGTCTTCTTTCCATGTTTCAATTGTATATAACCGGTCTCTTCTTCACAAATAGGACAAGCATAATGCCCCTTCACACTATACCCACTCAAGTTTCCATAGGCAGGGAAGTCATTAATGGTACAAAATAACATTACATGCAACTTGAACTTCGTCGCTGATACCCATCAAATGCATCTACTCCTTCCTCCCATATTAGTGTTAAGTCTTCTATCAAAGGACTCAAATACACATCTATGTCATTTCCTGGCTGTCTTGGACCTGAAATCATCATACACAACATGACATATTTGCGCTTCATGCATAACCATGGTGGAAGATTGTAAATCATCAATAAAACGGGCCATGAACTATGGTTACTACTTAAATTTCCAAAAGGATTCATCCCATCTGTTGCTAATCCAAGTCTAAGGTTTCTTGCAACACTACCAAAACTTGGAAATAGACGGTCAAAATTCTTCCATTGGGGAGAGTCAGATGGATGTCGCATTTGCCCATCACATGTTTTTCTCTTTGAATGCCAAATTAAATTTTCAGCATCTTCGTGAGCGTACAACCGCCTAAATCTTGGAATTATTGGAAGATACCATAAAACTTTTGCAGGAGGACGTTTTTTACCACTCTCCTGACTACAATCATCACCATCCTTCGCTTTGTAACGTGATACACCACATGTTGGACATTGGTCTAAAGATGAGAATTCATTCCTGTATAAGACACAATCATTAGGGCAAGCATGTATCTTCCTATATTCTAAACCCATCGGACATAGTATCTTCTTCGCTTCATACATATGGTCCGGCAAGGTGTTATTGTCTGGGAGCATCTCCTTCAAAAGTTGGAGTAGTTCATTAAAACTTGTATCACTCCAACCAAATTTTGCTTTTAGATTGACCAATCTTAACACGTATGACAACCGTGTGAAAGTTGTACATCCGGGATACAAAGGTGTCTCCGAATCGGTCCTCAATGTATCATATATAGATGCATGTGCTTCAAGAAAGCTCTCTTGACCCACATCACAAAGCATGTCCTCTATTCAATCTTCGCAGGTTACATCATCCTCAATAGTTTGTGATACTCGTTGGAATATCAACCACTTCACCGTGCCATGTCCATATGGTGTAATTCTTCATCATCCCATCGCAAATAAGATGTTCCCACGTTGTGTCCATCTCTTGTACTCTCCCATTTACACAATTAACGCATGGGCAATAGATTTTTCCATTCATCTTGGGAGCATTTTGTTCTAAGCAAATTTCAAAAAGGAGTCAACTCCATTCTCATACTCTTCTCGACATGCGACTTGCATTGACCCAAGTTCGATCCATCTAACTACACAAAAAGGCTTGCCTAGATATTCAAGGTTTATTAGAAAAGGTTTAGCAAAACAATACAAAAAAATTTGTGTACATCTCATTTCCCACATCAAGATTGGGAAAATAAAACGTGTACATCTACATGAAAGAGTATATACCGCTTCGAAACCGAAAACAAACTTCCAAAATCCTAAACGAACCTATATCAAATCAAACCATACAAAATCATCCATCATCTTTCTAATGTTCATATGCAGGAAATGTCGTAAATAATCCATATTTATGTTAAATGCATGTCGTAAATCATCCATACAACTTAATCTAACCTCGATGAGAAGGGGTTTCCTTAGGGAAACAAGGACTACCACACACACGGCAACAACGGGGTACGCCGCGTAAGAGCGCGCGAGTGGGCGCGAAGGGCGGCGAGGGGGCAGAGCACTAGCAGTGAGGATCGAGGCAGCAGACTACGCCGAACCGAGGTAGCAGGCACGCATGCTGAGGACCGAAGGAGGGAGGTATGTGGGCACGAAGAAGAAGCAGAAGGAGGGAGGTATGTGGGCACGAAGAAGAAGCAGAAGAACAACTTCGCGCCTTGGAGTCTAGGTATCATAGGACATTCAACGTCGGTTATTAAAAAACTCGACGTGGATAATGCTTTCGACGTCGGGTAAATCATGGAACCGACGTTGATTTTGGGATTTCAACGTCGGTTATACATAACCGACGTTAAATTTAAACATTTAACGTCGTCTGTCATCTAACCGACGTTATTTGTCCGTTACTACGTCGGATTTTTTATAATCGACGTTAAATATTGTTTCTTAATTACAAGTTTGCCACCGCGTTTTGTACAACGTCGGTCTTCATAAAAACTGACGTTGGATGCTGTCGTAGTAAGTATTTTCTGTAGTAGTGAAAGCAGAGAGTTTTATACACCCATAAATAAAATTGTACAAACTTCTATGTACTTTGAAACATGATCTAATAGGCACTAAAATCCACCAACCCTGACAAATATAGTCATTCTATTAGGGTAGAAGAAACATAAAATCCTAAATTCATACGCTTCTCTCTAAGGTTATCTTTAATATTGAGAAGACAATCTTTTACAAAAATATACTAAATTATTAGTTTTTTTTTTCTCTACAAATACTCGTATAATTAAATTTAAATAATATATATTCGCCTGTTCTTTTAAATGCATTTTTAAGTTATAATCATCATGATGATCTTAATCTATATTGAAGGTGTGTGTAACCTGTAAAATACTCCTACGAAAACAAGTAGATATATGTCTGCAAATACTTGTGTCATTTGCCAACTCATCCCCCTTACTTTTTAGAAGAAGCACGGTTGGTAAAAAAAAATTAATCATATTTTTCTTAAAATATACCAAAAAGGTTTGACTCAATTAGTTTGAACTATATATTTAAAAACTAATTCTGTACCTTCTTATAAATTGAGATGGAGAAAATATAATATTTTAAAACCACTAAAATCCACCATCCTTGGGGAAGAATTTTGTTAATTAATACAAATTTCAAAGGTTTTTTAATCTTGATGTCCTAATTGTTAGGGGAATTGATTCCTTATTTTTTTCATTTTGTACCTGTAAGTCTTGTTCGTCAAATTATTCCTCAAACAAATGCTCACATGTACAGTGAAGCAATTGAATTTGGTTTTGGAAACTCAGCTTTAACTAACCTCTTCCTACACTAAACACCTACTTTCAACATCACCTCAACTGTCCTTTACAACGACCCCAATTCTTGTCTTCTTACACATACATGCATCCATTATACATCACACACACACTAATAACTAATAATTCACCCAACGCAACACTAATTAATAAGAACAGTGCACTTTTGCATCATATTTAATTTCTGGAATTACCACCTCAATTCTCTTTCTCTATAATTACAACACAATCTTCACTTCACTTCACTCCACTCCACTAATCTGCTCTCTCTCACCATGGACAATGTCTCTTCTTACCTTGCATGCTTCCTCCTCCTCCTTTTCCTCACACACGCACGTGCCGACCTCCCTGGCACATGGGAGCTTCTCGTCCCCGACGCCGGCGTCGCCTCCATGCACACGGCGGTCACGCGCTTCAACACGGCGGTCCTCCTCGACCGCACCAACATCGGCCCCTCAAGAAAACTCCTCCCCAAGGGCAACTGCCGCTACGACCGAAACGACGCCCTCTTGAAACGCGACTGCTACGCCCACTCCGTCCACCTCGACCTCCAAACCAACCAAGTCCGTCCCTTGAAAATCCTCACCGACACGTGGTGTTCCTCCGGCCAGTTTCTCCCCGACGGCACGCTTTTGCAGACCGGTGGCGACCTCGACGGGTTGAAAAAGATCCGAAAGTTCAGCCCGTGCGACGCAAGCGGGACTTGCGACTGGGAAGAGCTAAACGACGTTGAATTGGCGGAAGGCAGATGGTACGCCACAAACCAGATTTTACCGGACGGGTCGGTGATTATAATCGGTGGAAGAGGGTCCAACACCGTCGAGTTTTTCCCTCCGAGAAAAAACGGCGCCGTTTCGTTTCCCTTTTTGTCTGAAACGGAAGACACTCAGATGGATAACTTATATCCTTACGTCCACCTTCTTCCAAACGGTCACCTTTTCGTTTTCGCCAACACGCGGTCGGTGATGTATGATTTCACGCGCCACGTCATCGTTAAGGAGTACCCTAAATTGGAGGGCGGTCCGCGGAACTACCCTTCCGCAGGGTCCTCCGCGATGCTGGCTTTACAAGGGGACTACTCAACCGCGGAGATTGTTGTATGTGGCGGCGCGCAATACGGTGCGTTTTTGATGCAGAGTACGGACACCCCGGCGCACGGTAGCTGCGGGCGCATATTAGCTGTGGGGGACGATGAGAATCCGAAATGGGAAATGGAGGACATGCCGTTCGGGAGAATCATGGGGGATATGGTGATGCTTCCAAACGGCGACGTTTTGATTATTAATGGAGCGATGTCCGGGACACAGGGGTTTGAGTCGGCTCGTAATCCTTGTTTGAATCCGGTTCTGTACCGGCCCGATCAACCGGTTGGTTTGCGGTTCATGGTTTTGAACCCTGGCACTGTTCCGAGAATGTACCATGCAACCGCGAATTTGCTACCCGATGGGAGGGTTCTCCTTGCCGGGAGTAACCCGCATGTTTTGTACCGGTTCGACGCTGAGTTCCCGACCGAGTTACGAGTGGAAGCGTTTTCGCCCGAGTATTTATCCGCGGACCGGGCGAATCTTAGACCGGTCATTGAGGAGGTACCTGAAACGGTGCGGTTTGGGGGGAGTTTCGATGTGGTGGTTTCGGTTTCTTTGCCGGTGGTGGGGATTGTGGAAGTGAACTTGGCGAGTGCGCCTTTTGCCACACACTCGTTTTCCCAGGGTCAACGTTTGGTCAAACTGGCGGTTTCGTCTGCCGTGCCTGACGGTGACGGGAAGTACCGGATCGGCGTCACAGCGCCGCCGAGTGGGACAGTGGCACCGCCGGGGTATTACATGGCTTTTGCGGTGAACCAAGGCGTGCCCAGCGTTGCCAAGTGGATACACGTGGCGTAGCTGTGAAGTAACGAAGTTTGATGTGGTTTTGGAAATTTAAATTGTATTTAATTGTTTATTTTTTGTTTTTTGGGCAAGTGGGAGATTAAAATTTAAAATTGTGAATCATGCAATTGTTAATAGGAGGAATTGGGAGCAATAGCTGTTAAATTGCAAACTACACTGTATTGCTATAAGATGTTTAATTAGGTGGAGTTGTAGGGTGGTTCTGATCTGACGCTAAAAGTAAAGTTTTTAAGATAAAGCAAGTGACACAGGTGGAAACCCTACAAAAAGAATTGTCCACTTAATTAAATGCTTTTAACAGTGATATTTATTGGTTTGATATAAAGTGGAAATCATATCAATTTATAGATGAAGTGATAATAATGAACGATGCTTCTTATTTGTCCTATTCGTTTAGAAACTAGAGGAGATTGAATATATTTATTATAATAGGATGAATTTATAGAGTTGAAATATTATATTTTATGAATTTTATTGAGTTAAAATTAAAGGTAATTTATATTTATTTTTTAATTTATTTTAAAAATAAAATTATAATAAATTAAGGTTTTTAAATAATTAATATTTTAAATATAAAAATTAATTTTAAAAATATTATCATAAATATAATATTAATATATTATAATTTTTAAATGAAATATATATATATATATATATATATTTTTTTTTAATTTAATGAAATATTTTTAAGAATAAAAAATTATGATAAAAAAATTCTAAATCACTTTAAATTTTTTTAATTCTCATCTAATTTTAATTTTTTTTAATTTAATAATTATTTAATATATTTATTTATATATTTATAATTTATTTTTTTTATTATTTTGAACTTTCATATCATTTATAATTTTGTTTTCTCAAAATTTATGATAATTTAATATATTTATAATTTTATTTTTTTATATTTTTATCTTTTTTTCATTCTTTATATTTATTTATTATTTATTAATAATTTATTATTTGATCCATTAAAATTAATTATCAAAATTCACTACTAATATTAAATATGAAAATTAATTCAAATGATAATATGAGTTTAGATTACTTTCATTCATATATATATATATATATATATATATATATATATATATATATATATATAATTCTTGATCGAAAAGTTATATCCTTGAGATATGAAATAATATATTATCATAACGGAGTAATAAGGTATGGAAATAATATATCTGAAAAAGAAGAAGATATCGGTGGCAAAACTATAGCTTACCTGTGGATGACGCTCTCACTCCTGTGTGGTCTCATTTCTTGCTCAAATCTATACACAATGCTCCGGGAAACTTCCACTTTCCTCCACAATTTATTTTGCATGTGTTGCTAATGCATCCTATCACCTCTTTTTCATTTCTAAAGTTGAAACTTTTCTATTTAAATTTGATTTTGACACTTTTTCTAAATTTTAATAGTTACAAATTGTTTATGCCAGCAATAACAAAATTTCAATCGATTTCCTTCTTTCCAAAACATTAAAAAAATGTGTATTTTTCTGGTCACTTGAGGAAAGAGACGAACAAACAAAAGAGAGAAAAACAAGATTAAAAGACGAAGAGGTTTCGTTCCATTGGGGGAAAATTTAGAACTTTTGGCATGACCTCGTTAAATGTTAGTTTTCATCCTTTTTTTTCCTTTCAAAAAAGATAAATTTGTAAATTTTGCCTAAAATAAATGATTTTGTGATTTTTCTTAAGAAATTTCGTTTTCAATCGTTTTTTAATACTTATTTTGATTTCTATTACTTTTTCCCGGTGGATTGACCGATAAAAAAGAGTTATGAAATTATCTAAAAACTTATTAAGATAAAATTTATAACTATTTTCTATGAAACCCTGTAACTTAAAAAATGATAGATTTGTAACGTCTTAAGTAATCTTAAAAATATTAAATAAGATTCTAAATTTAATTATCGAACTTTAATATTTTGTGTATTTTTTTTATGTATAGCCATTAAAGATAATGATATATAGGAAGTTAAATGAGATTATAGATTCCATTAAAGCAATGAAAGCGATGATTCGCATTGGTTGTCTCATGGGATGTGATCATTGCTACTTAAAGTCACTTTTGGGACCGAAGTGTTTGTTTGTTTGTTTTTTATTTTTATTTTTTCTTAATGTAAATTCTTGTTAATTCTCTCTTATTCAATGGCAATGAAATAATGCATCAAAATACGTTGTTAATTCTCTCTTTTCCATTTATTCCAATCCGATTTTCAAAATAAATTTATATATATATATATATATATATATATATAATTTTTTTCGTTTATTATGTTATATTCTAGTTAACAAAAGAAGTTTGTTTTTTTGAAAAAATGTAGGGACTAGGAAAGAGGATCTAAAAGAATTTTCAATTATGTGGTTCAAAATGTAGACAACAATAATACGAATAAGGTTTATATGTCATGATGATTAAATAAGTACGATAAATATATAAAAATAAGAGTGAATAATAACGAGAGAAATACATATGTCTATTATATTATTTATATCTCTCTTTGTATAAATAAGTTTAAAATTATGTTATTCTATTATTCTAATTATAAGAGATTTTGGAATATACAAGTATTTATGATATTACTTTAAATCACTAAGTAGTTAATTAAGGATTATTGATATATTATTATGATTTTGTTATTACGAGAATATCTAAGTTTTTATAATAATGTAATTTTTATTGATTTCATTTAGATATATATTATATATTCAAACATAAATACAAGTAGTTATATATATATGTTTGAAGTTCGAAATCTTAGTATGAGCTATGTTGAAATAATAATTATGTAATTTGATTTTTTTTTTAAGATTTTGTAATGTCAGAATATAAATTTAGGTTATTTTTTTTTCAATGAAACATATTAATTCACTACAAGAAAAATCACATTTAGCCACTGAAATTAGCGATCGAATTTTTTCGGTCGCAATTAGCTGACCGATTTAGCTGACAAAAATATGAATTGGTTTTCATTTTGTTATTTAGCGATCGAAATAGCGACCAATAGTTTGTGTCGCAAAATTTCGATCGCTAAATCGTGGCTATTCCACACTAAAATAAAAAAATCATTTAGCGACTGATTTAGCGACCAAATTTAAATCGGTCGCTAACGACCATTATTTTTTTATGATATTTAAATTTATTTTTTTATAAATATACTTTAATTGTTTTAGTATATTTTTGACAATTTATTTTTCAAAAGTAATTTATTTTCTAAAAATAATTTAATTTTTAAAAGATACTTTAAAAATAAACTTTGGTCTTAATATTAACAAAATGAAGATTAACTTTAATTTTAAATTACTAAAATAAAAATATTATTAAAAATAAATCAAATTTATTAAAAATTTAAATTGTAATAAATTAAGACTAGAGTAATATTAACTATTCAATACATTGTTTAAGAAAAGTTTAATAATAAATATTCTTTAATTTATTTTTCAATTGAAAATTTCAATTGAAATTAAATTATATTTTAAAAATGTATATTAAAAAAATTAAACACATCAAATGATCACATTTTAATTCCTCATTAACTTAATTAATTAAGAAAATAAATTTTTAATCAAATAATTACAATTTTATTTTATAAAACTTTATTTTTAATCTAATCTTTAAATTTATTGCTTTATTATTATTAATTACTTAACCATGGTTATTTTCATATAATTGATATACAAAAAAATTATATCAATATACATTAGATAATCAATATACATTAGTTTAAGTATATTAATTAATATTTTTTCATTTTTAACATAATTAATAACAAAGATTAAAAATAGACTGCTAGAAAAGTTAAAAATTTAAAACTAATCTATTTTATAAATACTAAAAATAAAGCATATTTAAATAAATTAAAAATATATTTAAATTTATATTTGAAACTATATAATAGCGGTTCCACGTTAACCACTATCTAAACTATATTTTAGATAGCGGTTAAGGTTTAACCGCTATTAGATGTTCTGTTTTAAGAGCGGTTCCAGTGGAACCACTATCATATACAACCATTATGATCGATTAAATTTTCAAATAACCGATCATATTGGATAATTTTTTCAAATAATTAATTATAATCGATTAGTTTTCTAAATAATTGATTAGTTTTTCAAATAATAGATTATAATTGATTAATTTCTCAAATATATATTAAAAAATTATAAATAAAAATATAAATTACTTAAGAATATTAATTATTGTATGAAAGTGATGAAGATCTTATTGAAACACTCTGACAAAGATCTTATTGATTTGATGAAGTCAAAGATAAAGTCAAAGTCAACTTTGTAGCGGTCAACAATCACTTTGATAAAAGAGTAGAGGAATTAGTGTGTCTTCGACTATGCTTAGGTATAATCATTTTTATCTTTTCTGCTGCATGAGGTTTCTTCACTTAAAAGATTTTGCAAAATGCCTCTAAATACGTTTAAGCGCTTAAAAACAAAGTATTTTAACAAAAGCTTTCTTAAACAAGTTTTTAACCGATATAATTTCGAAATAACTAGGTTGTTTTCATTAAAGAAAGTTTTGAAAACATTCTGTCAGTGTTTTAACTGATAAAGCTTCGAAATAACCGATTAAAAACACTTAAAATGTTAAGAGAAGTGTTTTTGCAGTATTTTAATCGATACAACTTGGTTTTAAATGATTAAAACCACTTAGAGTTCAGGATGATCGATCAGAATGCAATTATGACCGATCAGAATCAGATATGATCGATCAGAATTGAGTTATGACCGATCAGAGCTTTTTCAATCGATTAAAACACGTTTCAATCGATTAAAACAACTTAGAAAATTTCTACACAGCGTTTTAATCGATTAAAACTTATTTTTATCAGTTAAAATCACCTGGAAAAACTCACAATAAAGTTTTGCAGTATTTCAATCGATTGAATCACGAAACAATCGATTAAAACAAATTAGAAGATTTTTTGTAAAGAGTTTTAATTGATATAAACGTTGTCGTATCAGTTAAAACAA